TGAGCGATGTTTGGAAGGTAGGGTTGCAGTTGGAGCATGGGATTGAGAGAGGTGAGGTTGAAAGAACAATTAGAAGACTCATGGTGGAGGAAGAAGGGGAAGAGATCAAAGACAGAGCCTTAAAGTTGATGGAGGAGGCAAATCTTTGCCTCAAAGGTGGTGGCTCTTCATACCAGTCTTTGGATGGGTTAATTCAACATATTTTATCATTATAAATCGTTTGTTTCTAAAACTCAGCATTGTTATTGAATAAAATAAAAAATATTGTTGGTCTGCACTCTCCGGATCTTTTCCACCAAGACACACAATCCAGATTTTTGAAATTTGATCAAACAGTTACAAATAAAGGCTTACTTTAAAAATTATAATAACTTTAGTCATTGGATCAAATTTCAAAGGTCCGGATTTTGTGCCTTGGTAAACTTGGTGGAAAGGATCCGGCGTCTGCAACATGTGTATGTGTGTACATAAATTGGGGCTTTTAGCAATGGATTTTTCAAAGATTAACCACACTTTTTTAAAAACCATATATATATCGTGGATATTATTAATAGGATGTTGATATTAACCACACTTCCGGCCAAGGATTGGCTCTGATACCAAATTGTCACATCCCGGCCTGGGCCCCCACCACATCCCGGACTCGACTCTACCGTAGCACAATATTGTCCACTTTGGGCCTTTACCACGCCCTCACGGTTTTGTTTCTGGGAACTCACACGAGAACTTCCCAATGGGTCACCTATCATGGGATTGCTCTCATGCGAACTCGTTTAACTTCAGAGTTCCGATAGAACCCGAAGCCAGTGAGCTCCCAAAAGGTCTCGTGCTAGGTAGAGATGAGAATATACATATAAGACTAACATGATCCACTCCCCTGGGCGATGTGGGATGTCACATCATTCCTTCAGAATCCAAATACCATCCCATAGTTAGGAGTCCAATTGCTCCAAATTTCGGAATTGGATTCCAAAATTTATGTGGGACCCACTAATTTTTTATTCCCTTAGATTTGGTAAACACCGGAGTATTCCGTAATTAGAATTCAATTCTGTTTCTTGATGCCGATTATCCTTACGTAAACGTGCCCTAAGTGCCTAACACACACAGACTCCCTGTAATGGTAGGAGAGAAAAGGTCAGAGATTGATTTATAAAATAGAAAACTTTATTTTAATCCTTAAAAAAGATGAGTTTTAAATTATAACCTTATGTAAGATTAAAATCTAATTTTAATCTATGATACATTTAATCATCTCATTTATTAATTACATTTTGATGTTTTATTTCTTTTTTCTTTCTTTCCTATTTTAAATGTATTAATTACATTTAATTTTCATTTTCATTTCAGTCATCATAATATATTTTGATGTCTCCATTTAGGTAAACTAATTTTTTATATAATATATTCGAATACAATTTGTATAATCTTTCATTTAGATACATTAATTCATTTGATATATTTCAGTATATCCATCAATACAAATATATAGGTACATTAATTCAATATAATACATTTCGGTACGTAAATTTTGGTACACTAATTCAATATAATATATTTTAGTACATACATTTCGGTATTGATATTTAAGTACAGTAATTCAATATAATACATTTTGGTACATACATTTAGGTTCATTATAATATATGTAGGTACACATTTCAGTACAGTCATTTATGTACACATATATTTACATATTTATGTGTCACTAATTTCTTTTAATATTTTCTCGTTTATGTTCATTTATAATTGAAAGAACTAATATGTGCATATCAATAAAATTAAAATTTTAATGTGAAGACATTAAATAACAAAAATAGAATATAAATCTTAATAAAAGTACAGAGATTAAATTAAATATGTAATCTAGCATCAAGGTTTTTTTTTTTTTTAATTCTAATATTTTGCAAGGACTAATGTTCAAAAACCCCTTCCCCTTATAAAATTAGGCACAGAGATTGTGACATATGCCCTAGCTTCCAATTAGCTAGTATAAATAAAGAACTTTTGTGATTGATTAGTCACAACATTTTCAAGCCAAGCAACCACATAATCCCTCTAATGGAGCAGAGCAAACACCGGAGAGTGATACTCTTCCCCTTGCCTTTTCCTGCATCACATATAAACCCAATGCTGCAACTGGCCAACATTCTACACACCAAAGGCTTCTCCATAACCATTATCCACACCAACTTCAACTCTCATAACTTCAACCCATCAGCCCATCCACACTTCACGTTTATCTCAATCCCTGACGGCTTATCTGAATCCGAGGCGGCCACCAATAACATTCTCCATCTTTTCTCTCTTCTGAATGTCAAATGTGTTGAACAGTTCCGCGAATGCTTGGCTAGCTTGTTATCTGCTGACGCTAACTCAGAGGAGCCTATTGCTTGCTTAATTTCTGATAAACATTCTATAATATACTATTTATTTTTATTATTGTCTAGGTAACAATTTTTGATATTTTCTTTATCTTTATGGTCCGAATTTTTTTAATCCATATATGTAGTTACATAATATAATTTTTACATTCTGTGTTCACCTTCTACCACCAGCAAATTTTGAAGAGGTGTTCATCAATATTTTTGAATATATTGATATACTTTTCAAATTGTTAGGCCACGGAAGCTACTATACTTGGCCATAGGTGAGAAAGTTTGAATTTTGTTTTTGATCTTGTAGTGTTTAATAAATTCATGAGACTTTTATACGCTGTTTGCTTTCCCTAATCAATTGCAGTGCAGTTGAGATATGTGTTCTTATATATGTGTTGCACTTAATGATATAAACTAGAAATATTGCATGTAATGGTATAAGTTCTAATTTTTGTTGTAGATGGAGAAGCTGAGAAGACAATTTGAATTGGAAAGCAAACAAGTCCTACCAAAGCAGCAGTCCGAAGTATCATATTCTAATATAATAAAATCAAATAATTAAATAAATAAAATTTAAAAAATACTAATTTAATTATTTCGGTTCGGTTTGGTTCGGTTTCTAGACCACCAAAACCGAACCGAACCAAAAGAGTTCGGTTCGGTTCGGTTTTTTCAATTCGGTTCGGTTTTTTCGTTCGGTTCGATTTTTTCGGTTTCGGTTCGGTTCGGTTTTCGGTTTTTTGAACCCACCCCTAATTGCCAAAGGAGATGGCCTCGTCCAACTATTTAGGAAAAAACTTAAAATGTAATCTGTTTGTACCATACTTGACCAATCCCGAAACTACCGAGCACCGGCCAACGCTATACTGTCAAGGACCCAGAAGAGTTCCCCTCCGACCAGGAGGCCAATCACTACTCGACACGTGTCAAGATTAGAAGCCAATCAGAGCGCAGCACGTGTCGACATCAAGAACCAATCATAACATGACACATGTCAATGTGACAAAGCTACAAGTTTTTCTATAAATAGGGGTCATTCCCCCACAATATTGCCTAATGCCATTTTGTGTTAAATCATTCACAAGAACTCACTAAATTGAGAGCTTGATCCTTTGTACTTGTGTAAGCCCTTCACTACTAATAAGAACTCCTCTACTCCGTGGACGTAGCCAATCTGGGTGAACCACGTACATCCTGTGTTTGCTTCTCTGTCTCTATTCATTTACGTACTTATCCTCACTAGTGACGGAAGCAACCAAGCGAAGGTCACAAAACCTGACACTTTCTGTTGTACCAAAGTCTTCGCTGATTTTGTGCATCAACATAATCGAAATCGAGAGACTCCCTCAAAAGGGGATTAGATTCTTTCCCCTAAATCGCAAATGAAGTGCGTGCAACAACTCTCATTGTTTCTGCCTCGGACTGTATTGCTCTTTTTTTTTTTTTGTCAAATGATAGATTTTGTTAGATTAGTCACCAACGGAATTTGAACTCATGCCTTCATACAATGGGTCAACACCTTTCCACCATTGTGGTAAAGGGGCCACTTGCAGGACACCAAAAGATGAACTAAAATGTGTAATCTGAGCCCTCAGATTACTCAAAAAGTCATTGCTCATTGTTCATTTGGTTTAGATATTAATAGTGTCACTGTTGTTTTAAGTTACAACAAACTAATTAAGTCTGAGTGGTCAAATAGTATTTCTCCAAGTTGAATGAAATTTGCATTCTATTGAGAAAAATGCGTTCTCTTCTTCTTTTAACAAATTCAATATCGAATAAAACTTGCTCACTGTTTGGAGTATTTTCTAACAACCCACACAAAACAATAAGCATGAAGATCACAGTTACCTACCAGGCAAAATAGTCAAATACAGATGTGTACCACAATAGATCTTTTACATATCTCAAAACCATATACATCATTTGACATAGGATTCATCATAGTATTTGGTAGAGAGAATTTTTTTTTTGTTTACACCACAACACCGACACCATAAATATTAGCAACAAAGGCAGTCAATCCCTTTCATTATGCAGCCTATAACAGGAAAAAATAGAAAGCTCAAATATGTCTGCTTACTTTACAATAGTAGATGTTGTACTAATAATTTAGGACGCTCTTCTCTCCAAATTTTCTCAAATAACTATCATTTTCGTATAGCTCGTATGAATGCAACTCGAAAAATTGCTCGGAAGAAATATATACAAACAAAAGCAAACTAAAAGTAAGCTATTGAAAGAAATTTAGAAACACACAAACATCACAACAACTCAGACTTAAAACTCAACAAACACCAAATAGTAGAAACTGAATATATATATGCTCTTGAATCGAGAACTTCATCAAACGAACAACAATCAATCTAATACAATCTGTCAAAAACCAAAAGGGAAAGAGAGAATTTCAAGGCCCTGTAATGTCGAGGCCTCGTACGGTAACACAATAATCTTGTACAATTATACAATTTCAAGGCCTTGACACAAAATAATTGCGAAATGCCTTTTTTTAATCACGGCATGCTGCACGCGACTCACATTTTAAACATATTTATCTGCGTGAATTGCTTCACTTGTTTTGTATTTCATTATTTTCTTTCTTTATGAGACATATTAGAAACATTAAAGAAAAGCGATCATCATGTCACATAATACAGAGAGCAATTCAAAGTTTACAAAAGTTGAGGGAGAATATTTGATAGAGTTAAAACATTGTTCATACCAGGTAGGACAAAACCCCAAACGGAGGAAAAAGACATCCTAACATTGAGAACAATTTATTTAAGAAGATGACAACTTTGGCTATATTGCTCCTATCATTTCTCTCCATACTTGATATGTTGAACTCCAGTTGAAAACTTTTTGTATTCCTACATAAAAATAAATAAATAAATAAACACAATAATTTATTTGACAAAGGAAATGAGCACATAAGGGAAAAAATTACTGTAACAGTTAACTAACATATGAAAGTGATACTATCCTTGAAAATCATGTCCTCAAATGTGTATCATCAATTTAATTAAACTATAGTGAGCAACACATTAGTCTTTTTTCATTTTTTGTACGGGCAACAACATAGTGCAAGGGTTAGAATATATTTGCACGTATATGTTGCATAATATAACATGTGTAGAAGTTACAAATGTGTTTGTGTTTCTTCAATTTTGAGTTCAAAATGAACGTCATAATTTCAAGTCCTTCATCTAATAGCTAATAATGACAATTGACATGCCAAAGAGGTGAAAGAATTCAAGAGATTAAGGCATTGGAAATGCACCAATGGGGCTGGAATTGTCTTTGAAATTAAAAAGCTGTAGAATTCGTCCTCTCTGAGAAAAACTTAGTTCTTCTCTGAAAATTGGATCACCCTCCCTCAAGGTCCTATGGATAAATATGAATGTTTTCAAAGCTACTATCAATGCCAACCACAAAAATAATACAAACAAAGTTTAACAGGAATCAAAACATATGTATACATCTACATAAGCATATTAATCCATAAGTCAACGATGATCCATATACAGCCGATAAGAAGAGTGTCATAAAGTGTTGCATTGTCCCATGTAAACTGGGACAACATTGAACCGGACCAGTAGAAGATTCACTTCAGAATAGTTAAAATTATATAAACTTATTTTTCCGTGTAATTATGCAATCAAACTCTTGCATTTACTTTCCTGCTCATCCATGGTATCACAAAGTAGTGCACCACTGGCAATGGATTAAACATTGCCCAAACAGCAAACACCAAGGCCTGTCTAACCAATGAGGTTGCACGCACAGATCCTGTCACACGACTCTGTTGTCTAAATCATCATCACATTGTATGTAGTGAGGCAGTGAAAAAAAGACTACCTTGGTTCTTAGATTAGATGTTTAAGCTAATAAGCAACCAAGACATCGATATTTCGAAATCCCATGACTTTCGGCAAGTACTTACTAAATCTTAAGTCCATATAACAACTGAAAACATTTTGAATTGCACCAAGACAGAAACCTAGCAACCATACCTCGGCTAACCAACCAGCAATGACTTCGATTGACACAAAGGTCCGAATCTGATCCACGTTAACAAAAAAACCCACTCGCTAAAATCAATCCAATACCTGTTTCACAATTACAAACTGTGTTAAAAACCGAAAATGGACGAAAAAGCAAAGAAGAAGCATTCAAGAGATTAAGGCATTTAAAAAATTAGACGAAGTGGACATAGATCAGAAAAAAGTTGGGGAGGGAAGTGATAACTCTGCAGTGAGGCAGTAAAAAATGAATCCAACTAATCCAATCTATTCCCTTTTGTCTACTGGCTATTGTGCCACACGGTCCCAAAGTTTAGTCTTCTTTCTAATTCCATGTGTCTGGTAAATGTGTCAAACCCATTTGAATAAATACACTTGAAGAAATTTCAATGAGAAAAACGTAGGAAAAGTAAGTATTCAAACTCTTCAATGGAAAAGGAGAAGGCGCGGAGAATTACCGTTTCACTCCGTTCTGGCCTCAGAGAGTGAGAGAGGTCTTCATCGCAACAACTTTATTTCCATCACTATAAACCAAAGCATAAACCCTACAAACTTCCATTACAGATAGGAGGGATTACATATGAACCTGTGCACTGAAAAATTTAACATCTAAATTTTCTTATTCGTGAAAATTGAAAGGAAAACGGATGACTGAAATGGAAGAAAGACAAAAGCCCGATCACATACTCGAAAGGAACACGACATATATAGCTGTAAACGTACCTTTGCAGACCTTCTCTTTGAGCTTTAGGAACCGGAATTGCATTTACTGTAAATCCAAACTGTAATGAAAACCCAATGAGGGGAATCCCTGATCAAAACAACATCCATCCCTGAACGTGATGATTCAGTTTCAGCTGCAACAATCCTTCCCTGAAATTATAGACCCTATGCTAGCAGCCTAAAATCCCAAAAACACATAATAAAAAATTCAAAATTTGAAGCGATTTCACAAATTGGGATCAATAATCTGAAAACATAGTTCAATTTTTTATTGCTTGGATGGAGAAAATTGAGAAATGAAAGAAAAAAAGTTAGGTTTAGGATTGAACTTGGTACTTGAACCAGAGACAGTTAGCCGAGGCCGGCGTTGTAAAGAGCTTGAGAAACCTTATCGAATACACTGAGGGGCGTCCACGAAATGCTTTCTTCAATGAAAAACGTATCTCCTCCGTCCTTCCGGTACGCAACCGTGGTGGTGGTTCCGAACCAGCGGGAGTGGCTGAGTCAGAGCAAGCTGATCCGAAACGAAGACGAAGCATTAGAAAGAATAGAGAAGTAGTGCTCGAATTGGGAGAGGAGGTTGATCGATGTACGGAGATCAAAATTTTGTAACTGAACAAATGAAGTGGAGAAGTTATGATAAAAGGTTGTGGGGGGTTTGAAAACTGCTACGCAGAAAACTGAACGTCCTGAACGTGGTGGGTTTTCAATACATATTTCTGTGTGGTTATTGTTTTTTTACCAGTTTATCCTCATTTTTTGAAATTTTTTGGGTTTGGTTGTGAATACAAAAAAGGGACTTTCTTGGCATTTTGAAATGCTTCACCTATTTGGCCTTCTCCCTCTATATATACTAGCCTCTCCGCATGCACTAACGTGCATGCGAGAGGCATTTTTGCATCACGGGCGCTACGCGCCCCTAAAGGTATATTGTGTTATTTTTTTCCATTGTAATTGTCAAGATATATTTTAAATGTATTGTGCAAAGAGGAACTTTTTTTTTTATCATGCACGTCCTAAAAAGTTGTCATGTTTTTCGTTTTCACTTTGCGTAAAGTAATGATTTAAATGTTATTCATGTAATTGTCAAACAACATGGGATTTTGGATGCAAGTTCCTACCTAAAGTTCATGAACAATAGTAAGTAGATGTGAATAAAAAAAGAGTATATGAAAACATTAAGTACTCGTAGCAAAATACAAAACAACTTAAATGTCAAAATATAAAACCTAGATCACAATATTTATGTTATTCACAATACCCATAAAGTCTATATGTCATTGTTTATTTTGAAAAGAAAATTGACATCAATCCTGCAATTTCCACCCATTTGTTCCTGATTGACGCTTCAAATTTTCATTGCCAATCTACAAACAATTGTGAGAAAATTAAAAATCAAATAAAAAGAGTTAATTCATAAGTGAGAAATGCATATTGAAAGGTTATCATTAATAAAGTTGTTACCTATTAGGAATCACCATAATTAGCTGGAATGAAGCAAGATTTCTTTGTATACTACATTTCGTGTATAGGTCTTCATCTATTTACCTAACTATTGTGATAGTTAAAATATATTGGGATCTTATCTATTGTTAAGATGTTTGGTACGCGCCCCTAAAAATGGTTTTGCTTTAAGATGTTTTGCGTATGTAAAAACACGGGGTATTTCTAAAAATTAGGCCAAAGTAGGTTCTTGGAGCCAAGTACAAATGCTGAATTTGTGCCAATTTAAGTGGTGTGCAAATTTTGGCTTTTAATTTAATACAAATTCATTTGAGGTCAGGCCATGAAAATAGCCTCTTTTTTTTCAATTAATGGTTGTTCACAAATTTGTCACTTGAGGTGGAAAGAAAAAAAAAAGTTGTGTGTTTTCTTACACCTAACGCTAAAGTGCAATGAAACACAAAATAGGCTAGGAAATCATTCATCATATAAGAAAGAACTTCGTACATAAGCAAGACCATCCAAATAAGATTTCAGGTAAAGAGAATGGTGATACATGAAATACATAGTTATTCTGATTGTATATAGGAATGATGAATATGTATTCGTCCATAAAAAAAAATGAAAAATAGGAGAAAAGTACCAACTAACAGAATCGAAGGGAGCTAATGTATTTACCCTCTATTCTTTATTTGTCCCTCTTCTTTCTTTGCATTTATGTTGGCATCTTCAACAGCATCATACAATCTCAGTTTCCTATTGAGAAAAAACGGAGGCATATATATCATCTTATCCTCACAATACCACAAAATACAGCTCACTACATATTGGATTCTCTTTGAACACTTTATTTTACCAAAATCTGTTAAAGATGAGTTGATTAAACTATAATTTGTTCTATTTTTGTAGACCTGTATGTTGAGTTGGTTAGATTGGGGATTCCAATTTTTGGCTGGAATTTGAATGTATAATTGTTGGATAAGATCTAAGTCTTATTGATAATAAGGATCATTACATGTATCACACATATGTTTTTAATGATAATAAGGAACATGAGGCTCCCCTAATGTAGTGTTATGAAGAAAGTGGAAAAGATAAACTAAGTTCATGAGGATATAGATAGAATAAATATTCATGGATAAGATACCTTAATGATGTTCACGGTTTTATGTCAAAATGTGCATTTTTCTGGATAGGTCTTCATCTATTTAATTAACTATTGTGATAGGTAAAAGTTGCTTAATATGCTCTAAAATTAATGTAATTTAGTAAGGCAAAGTAAAAGCCAAAACCAAAATGACATAGTAAATTCAGTGCATAATATATGTCCAAAAATGCAAATAGATGCTTGTAATTTAATTGTTTATTATCTGTAAATGGCATTGAAAGCATTACTTATTTGGAACAAAGCAATAATACGAATAAATGGCTAATAGTTAGGTATATACGAGCTAGAAACCTTTCTCTACATACAAAAAAATCTAACGATGGGAAAATTAATCCACAAATACTTAATGCTAGCCTCTTCAATCAAATTCTACTTAACCCAAGACTAATCCAATCCTAATTAGCGAACATGACTTGAAAATTTGCTGGCTTTCTTTATCGTCATGTATGGCAAATAGATAGCAAGCGAATGCTCAAACCTGGAATGTGTAACCACTGGTATTCTCCATGTGTATCACTCCCGAAACATGTTAAAAGCTTTGGCAAGTAAGCAAACTGCAACATCGATACAATGACAAACAGAACTTCAATTACACATTGCCAAACCGTCCAAAACTTTACTCAATAAGAGAACAATTAAAATATATCATATTCTAATAAAAAAATTGTAAGGCCACATCCACATTGAATCGTGCATCTTTAGCAAAAACTTAAAAAAAAAAAAATCAGATTGCAAAACTGTCTATGTAAATACTTAAAGTCATTGTAAAAGAATATACTATAATCGAACGAAGAGCATAAAACTCACCAAGTTGATTCAAGTCATGAAGCCTGAAATGTAATGAAATCAATTCATTTGCAGCAAACAACATACACATATTTCTTTCGACACAGAGGTATACAAAAACCAACCTACCTGTAAAACTCCTACGTATCAATAAACCGTACCCGACACCAACGGGCCACCAGTCTCAGCGACAATGAAGCTGAAGCCGCCAATCTCCGGTGGGATGAAAACTCAGGATGAAAAGTAGGTTCCTAAAGCTATAAACATCTTTAAAATGAAACGGTGGGAGAATTTGACTAATCTTGTCTTTTTTGCAGATTTTCTTTCCTTGTTCTTCCATAAAGATTCCAAATCTTATAAATTCACCACCCAAAAACAAACTACTAATCGTAGTAGTACATTACACAAAACAGAGAGGTTTCTACAAATTGGTCCAAAACCCATTTAAAAAATCTGGTAAATATAAATAATTTCGAATAGTTCAAATGACAATCGAGTTAAATACTCCAAATTACTATATATATGAAAATAAGGTCGTGATGAACAATTCAATTAAGCATAGAGTACCTAGATTGAAGCAGAAAGTGAAAATCTCTAGCGAAAACCCATTTCAAAAATCTGGCCAAGATAAGGATAATATTGTTCGAGAAAATTATCCAATTTATCTAATGTTTTCAAAGCTACCTGCCAATGACAAACACAAAAATAATACAAAGTTTAACAGGAATCAGAACATATGTATACATATACATAAGCATATCAGTTCTTCCAACCTTCCAGTAGACACAATATAATTAAATTTACTTCCTGCAACTACTCAAAAACCACAAAACAATCAAATTTATTTGCTACTCAGTAACCCAATTTCCTAGCAACCAAACAATAATGATAAAATATCCAAAAATTGCTTTTTGGAAAAAGAGAATAATAAAAAATAACTCACATTTTTTCCTTTTACTTTCTCTCCTTTTTTCTTCACTGATCTCCTCCTCTGCTTCTTAGTCTTCGATTTTCCGACTCCACAAAACCCGAAATTGACTACAATAAACTTAAAACCCATAAAAAACTTAAACAAAAGCAAAAAACCAAGGAAAGCACAGAAAATACGAGAGTGAGTATTAGAGAAAATGCTTACCGGATCGTCCTTGAAAGTTAGGATTTCTGGGTTTTTAGTCTAAAAGAATGAGTGCGCATTCTTCCTCAGTGCAATGTTTGAGAGAGAGAGTGATGGAAGGTACCTAAGGCCACAAAATGAATAGCTAGAAAAATACCACAGAATGAATAGATAGAAAAAACAGTGTGCAGACGATGGGACAAAAAAAAATGGATATTGAATAAAGAGGGATAATACTAACCAATTTGTGTAAATCCTAACATTTATTTTCAGGATTGCCAGTTTCAGATGAAGAAATCATACATAAAAGGCGTGGAGGAGGGTGTTTTGTACGGAAGACAAAAATGAGTTTGAGAAAATCATCCAATTTTCCCTTTTGTATGCTCTGTGGGGATCGAGAACGTGTGATAAATGGCGGTTCCATGTCGGGTCTGTCAACCGCAGCAGTTGCTGCTTTGATCGTGCAATACATGGTTTCTGATGTCTTTCTAGCAGTTGTGGAATAATTGATCTAAAGGCTGAAAATGAACTTAAAGTGTGAGTATCTTATCCAATGGTTGTGAATTAATGTCGTTGAGAATTCAGAATTATTACGTTTTTAACCCTATTTTTTAGACAATTATTTTTTGGTTTTTTGTGTACGAAGTGAGGGCATTCTTGGCATTTCTGAATGCTTCACCAAACTGGTCTTCTCCCTTTATATATATAGATGATAGATGATGATGAAGAAGAATACATGTATATATATATATATATATATATATATATATATATATATAGAGAGAGAGAGAGAGAGAGAGAGAGAGAGAGAGATTGAGAGAAAGAGAGGAATGAATAAGGTCATACTCCATCATCATCGTCTAAAAAGAAATCTATTTACAGTTAAACTTTAAACCCAAAATATTAAAAAAAAACTTTATGTTATAATTCTAGTTGAACTTTAAATGTTTATTTTCATTATCTTTAAGTCTAGTCGGAATATTTATGTTATGATTGTGTTGGATATGTTAAAATTTAGGGTAAATTACATAGTAGCCCATCAGGTTTGAGGTCTATTTGCAATCTTATACAACATCTTTAAAACATTTCACTTTTATACCTCAAGTACTATTTTATTTCAATTTCATACAACCGTTACATTTTTCATCCATGGATCTGTTAAATGCTGACGTAGCTGCCACATATATGCCATGTGGCTACCAAATGTCTGCCACGTGGCAAATAAAATAATTTTTTTTTAAAAAAACCGGAAATTGGAAGGAAAAAAAAAGAAGAAGAAAGGGACCGAACCCAGAAGAAGAAGCAGGAAGAAGAAGAAGAGAAGAAGAAAGAGGAGGAGGAGGAAGAAGAAGAAGAAGAAGAAGAAAAAAGAAGAAGAAAGGGACCGAACCTAGAAGAGAAGAAGAAAGAGGAGGAAGAGAAGAAGAAAGACGAGCAGGAGGAAGAAGAAAAAGAAGAAGAAGAAGAAAAAAGAAAAAAAAAAGAAAGGGACCGAACCCAGAAGAGAAGAAGAAAGAGGAGGAAGAGAAGAAGAAGAAGAAAAGAAAAAAAAAAGAAAGGGACCGAGCCCAGAAGAGAAGAAGAAAGAGGAGGATGAGAAGAAGAAAGAGGAGGAGGAGGAAGAAGAAGAAGAAAAGAAAAAAAGAAGGGACCGAACCAGAAGGAGGAAGAAGAAGAAGAGAAGAAGAAAGAGGAGGAGGAGGAAGAAGAAGAAAAAAAACAAAAAACAAAAATGATCGAATCCCTTGCAACCCAGAAGAAGAAGGAAGAAGAATGAGGAGGAGGAGGAGGAGGAAGAAGAAGAAGAAGAAAAAAAAAACCCCAGAAGAAGAAGAAGAAGAAGAAAGAGAGAAAAAAAAAATGGCAGACAGGTTTATTAAAAAAAATTAAAAAATTATTTTTATTTGCCACATGGCAGACATTTGGCAGCCACGTCAGCATTTAATAGATCCATAGATGGAAAATGTAACGGTTGTATGAAATTGAAATAAAATAGTACTTGAGGTATGAAAGTGAAATGTTTTAAAGATGTTGTATAAGATTGCAATAGACCTCAAACCTGAGGGGCTATTATGTAATTTACCCTAAAATTTAAGATTTCAAAATTTTTCATTTTTTGAAAAAAAAAACCGAAACCAAACCGGAAAAAATAAAAAATAAAACCGAAAAAAAATTGAACCGAACCGAAATTTCGGTTCGGTTTCGGTTTTGGCAAAAAACCGAACCGATTTCAACCGAACCCACCTCTATTGGCAATGACATCCTATCTATTTTTAGTTATCACTTAAGAAATATAAGAATATCTAAAGGAAAACATTTTTGGGGCACGTAGCGCCCGTAATGTAAAAATATCTCTCGCATGAGCGTGAAAGCATGCAGAGATGCTAGTAAAACAATAAAATAATGAAAACTAATCATTACGTACTCCTAGAAATTGAAATGTAACGGTTGTATGAAATTGAAATAAAATAGTACTTGAGGTATGAAAGTGAAATGTTTTAAAGATGTTGTATAAGATTGCAATAGACCTCAAACCTGAGGGGCTATTATGTAATTTACCCTAAAATTTAAGATTTCAAAATTTTTCATTTTTTGAAAAAAAAAACCGAAACCAAACCGGAAAAAATAAAAAATAAAACCGAAAAAAATTGAACCGAACCGAAATTTCGGTTCGGTTTCGGTTTTGGCAAAAAACCGAACCGATTTCAACCGAACCCACCTCTATTGGCAATGACATCCTATCTATTTTTAGTTATCACTTAAGAAATATAAGAATATCTAAAGGAAAACATTTTTGGGGCACGTAGCGTCCGTAATGTAAAAATATCTCTCGCATGAGCGTGAAAGCATGCAGAGATGCTAGTAAAACAATAAAATAATGAAAACTAATCATTACGTACTCCTAGAAAATCTAAAACCGTATGGTTTTGAATAGAATAAAATATTAAAATATTAAAGTAAATTATTATTTCTAGGATCTAGTAATCGTACGGATTTTGAATTGATTAAAATAATTTTAAAATAATATTTTATTATTTGACTGACCTGTGTTTGATATATTGAGTTAGCTAAAACAATTAAAAATAAAATAAAAAATTACTCAAACAATTAGTATTTTTAAGTTTAAAGAACTAAAACTCCCTATCCTAAAGCCCAGCTTAACCTTGTTAGTAACTCCGTCATTGGCTGTGTGGATCAGCGGCTTCTCCAATTATGTTAAGTGTAAGATTTAAGTACGAGGATTTGGGACCTTAATCAATCATTGTCTGTGCGGAACAACGGCTCTTGAGAAAGTTAGGTGTAAGATTTTATTTGAAAAGCAGTTAGGTACCAATGCCCTTAATTTATTTATATACTGTTGTGTGTACCAACGGCTTCTTCATTAAGGTAGGTTTAAGATTTAAGTTTGAGAGTTTGGTACGTCAATTCATTAAACAAGAAAATTATTTTTCAATTATGAAAGTCGATGCCCACATTAGTTTGTTAGTATCTGAATATTTCAAAAAGGCTACAGTAATAGCTTTTCATTATATGAAATTTTCAAAAAGAGCGATCACTCCACTTTTTGATTTTTATCACGGATGTGACTCCACGTAAAAAGCACTTTGTGTGTAATTACAACACACGATTGAAATAAAAGAAGTAAAAACAATAATATCAGTATCCCTCTTTTCTTCTTTCCTGCAATCTTTTGTGTTATGGTTATGAAACTAAATAGTGTGATATCTTGCATCCGCTTCTCTCCCGTCCCTCGCGAAGGCTATCTCACTAACTTTTTTATTTATAACAAAAATTACATACAGAGTTTTACAAAGGATTTTCCCTTTCGGAAAGCTCCTTGAAAAGCTTAAGATTTTATAAACATACCTTAAAAACACCCTCCAAAGACACATAACAGGAGAAGAACTAATTTATCAGTTACATTATTTATGAAATTGAACTATATATGCAGCAGGTTGGTAAAGAAAAGCACAAGCCTTAGGACGCGTTTACTAATCCGTAATCAGATTGAAGGGAATTGAATTGAGGATGAATCAGATTGAGGAGGAATTGGATTGAAGATGAGTTAGAATCAGATTCTTATTAAAAATGTTTACTAAAACTTTCTGGAATCAGAGTAAGAATGACATTTATCTATATAAACTGTTTACTAGTTCACATGAATCGGAATATAAACTAATATGATTACTAAAATACCCTTGTTATATTAAATTATTTTTATATGCCGATTAAAAGAAAGTCAAATGATATAAAATAAAATTAAAAAGCAAACTAACCAATTACCAAACCCCAACCTAATTGTTCCTCTCCTTCTCCTCCTTTCTCATCTTTCAACAGTTTGAAATTGAAGGTGGGTTTGTGGCCGATGGGCAGTGGTGGTGGTGGCGATGATGTTGAAGGATTAGTTTACAGGGCTGTGATTTCATGTTGGCTTGGTGTGGAGGCTTGGTTTTTGACATTTTGTTCATAAAATACCTAATAAAATTGCAGCAAGGTTCTTCTTGGTTTTTGGTTTGATCTACATTTGTAATTTAATTGTTGTGGAAGATGATGGTGGCCGAGTTTATGTCCTGGGAAAGGCAATGGATGTGCGACGGTGGTGATGGAGAAGGAGAGGGATAACACTATGGACGAGAGCTTGGGTTTCTTTGGAATTTCCACTTTTATGCGAGGGCACAATGGGTAAGAAAAATGGATTCCTCGCCCCCTCAATTGTCACATCCCAGCCCGAGGCCTCACCACATCCCGGACTCGACTTTGCCGTAGCACAATATTGTCCACTTTGGGCCCCGACCATGCCCTCACGGTTTTGTTTCTGGGAACTCACACGAGAACTTCCCAGTGGGTCACCCATCATGGGATTGCTCTCGCACGAACTAGCTTAACTTCGAAGTTCTAATGGAACCCGAAGCCAGTGAGCTCTCATAAGGCCTCGCGTTAGGTAGAGATGAGAATATACATATAAGGCTTACATGATTCACTCCCCTGAGAGATGTGGGATGTCACAATCCACCCCCCTTAAAGGCCCGACGTCCTCGTCGGCACACTTCCGGCCAAGGATTGGCTCTGATACCAAATTGTCACATCCCGGCCTGGGCCCCCACCACATCTCGGACTCGACTCTGTCGTAGCACGATATTGTCCACTTTGGGCCTTTACCACGCCCTCACGGTTTTGTTTCTGGGAACTCACACGAGAACTTCCCAATGGGTCACCTATCATGGGATTGCTCTCGTGCGAACTCGTTTAACTTCAGAGTTCCGTTAGAACCCGAAGCCAGTGAGCTTCCAAAAGGTCTCGTGCTAGGTAGAGATGAGAATATACATATAAGACTTACATGATCCACTCCCCTGGGCGATGTGGGATGTCACATCATTCCTCCGGAATCCAAATACCATCCCATAGTTAGGAGTCCAATTGCTCCAAATTTCGGAATTGGATTCCAAAATTTGTGTGGGACCCACTAATTTTTTATTCCCTTAGATTTGGTAAACACCGGAGTATTCCGTAATTAGAATTCAATTCTGTTTCTTGATGCCGATTATCCTTACGTAAACGTGCCCTAAGTGCCTAACACACACACACTCCCTGTAATGGTTGGAGAGAAAAGGTCAGAGATTGATTTATAAAATAGAAAACTTTATTTTAATCCTTAAAAAAGATGAGTTTTAAATTATAACCTTATATAAGATTAAAATCTAATTTTAATCTATGATACATTTAATCATCTCATTTATTAATTACATTTTGATGTTTTATTTCTTTTTTCTTTCTTTCCTATTTTAAATGTATTAATTACATTTAATTTTCATTTTCATTTCAGTCATCATAATATATTTTGATGTCTCCATTTAGGTAAACTAATTTTTTATATAATATATTCGAATACAATTTGTATAATCTTTCATTTAGATACATTAATTCATTTGATATATTTCAGTATATCCATCGATACAAATATATAGGTACATTAATTCAATATAATGCATTTCGGTACGTAAATTTTGGTACACTAATTCAATATAATATATTTTAGTACATACATTTCGGTATTGATATTTAAGTACAGTAATTCAATATAATACATTTTGGTACATACATTTAGATTCATTATAATATATGTAAGTACAAACATTTCGATACAGTCATTTATGTACACATATATTTACATATTTATGTGTCACTAATTTCTTTTAATATTTTCTCGTTTATGTTCATTTATAATTGAAAGAACTAATATGTGCATATCAATAAAATTAAAATTTTAATGTGAAGACATTAAATAACAAAAATAGAATATAAATCTTAATAAAAGTACAGAGATTAAATTAAATATGTAATCTAGCATCAAGGTTTTTTTTTTTTTTTTTTTTTTAATTCTAATATTTTGCAAGGACTAATGTTCAAAAACCCCTTCCCCTTATAAAATTAGGCACAGAGATTGTGACATATGCCCTAGCTTCCAATTAGCTAGTATAAATAAAGAACTTTTGTGATTGATTAGTCACAACATTTTCAAGCCAAGCAACCACATAATCCCTCTAATGGAGCAGAGCAAACACCGGAGAGTGATACTCTTCCCCTTGCCTTTTCCTGCATCACATATAAACCCAATGCTGCAACTGGCCAACATTCTACACACCAAAGGCTTCTCCATAACCATTATCCACACCAACTTCAACTCTCATAACTTCAACCCATCAGCCCATCCACACTTCACGTTTATCTCAATCCCTGACGGCTTATCTGAATCCGAGGCGGCCACCAATAACATTCTCCATCTTTTTTCTCTTCTGAATGTCAAATGTGTTGAACAGTTCCGCGAATGCTTGGCTAGCTTGTTATCTGCTGACGCTAACTCAGAGGAGCCTATTGCTTGCTTAATTTCTGATGCTATCTTTCACTTCACACAACCTGTTGCTGAGAGCCTCAAGCTCCCAAGGCTTGTGCTAGAGACCATGGGTGCCACTTCCACTGCTGTTTATTATGCATTTCCTCTTCTGCGTGAAAGGGGTTACCTTCCCATACAAGGTACAACCCTACAAGCAATTTCATTCTTAACATTGCATATCAGTTAATTCGAAAAATTTATGTGTAGCACGGTCACGTGATATTACTAATTCATGTATACTAATGTGACAACTAATATTTAGTTAATTGTTTTCCCAATAGATTATCGACTAGAAGAGCTGGTAAAGGAGCTTCCACCTCTCAAAGTCAAAGACCTTCCGGTGGTTAAAGGGTGCGATGCCGATAAATATTTTGAGTTCATTGTTTACTTGTTAAGTATAACTCAGGCCTCAGATGGACTGATTTTCAATACTTTTGAAGACTTTGAAGAAACTTCACTGGCCAAAATACGCCACGAATATCTACCCAATACTCCAATTTTCCCAATAGGCCCATTTCACAAGTATTCCCCTTCCCCTTCTTCAAATAGCCTATTGTCACAAGACCAAAGTTGCATTTCATGGCTAAACACTCAAGCACCAAAGTCAGTTGTTTATGTGAGTTTTGGGACCGTTGCCAAAATGGAAGAAGCTCAATTTTTGGAGATAGCTTGGGGACTATGCAATAGCAACCAACCCTTCTTGTGGGTTCGACCTGATTTAGTCCATGGATCGAATTGCCTCGAACAATTACCTAGTGGGTTTGTCGAGACTTTGAACGGGAGGGGACACATTGTGAAATGGGCGTCACAAAATGATGTGTTGGCCCATCCGGCAGTTGGAGCCTTTTGGACCCACAATGGTTGGAATTCTACATTCGAGAGTGTTTGTGAGGGGGTCCCCATGATTTGTACGCCAAGTTTCGCCGATCAAATGGTTCTTGCAAGATATGCGAGTGAAGTTTGGAAGGTCGGGTTGCAGATTGAAGATGGGATTGAGAGAGGTTTGATTGAAAAAGCAATTAGGAAAGTAATGGTGGAGAAGGAAGGGGAAGAGATGAGAGACAGAGCCTTGAAGCTAATGGAGAAGGCAAATCTTTGCCTCAAGCAAGGTGGCTCCTCAAACCAATCTTTGGATGGGTTGGTTAAACACATTTTATCATTCAAACCATTTGGTGTTCCACAAGAATAACATATATAACCTCCCCTTGCTCCGCTCCCAACCGTAGTTGATTCCGACTGCCGTTTTGAGAGACGGACGGTGTTTTCCCGACGTACATAGTCGTTTTCTTGGTGTTTATTGCCAATTTTCTGGTTTTCTTTCTTTCCATCCTTTTTTTCTCCCTATCTTCCAAATCCTGATATCAAGTTTGGCTCCCCTTCGCTGCAAACCCATCCCCCCCCCCCCCCCCTCATGCTTCCCCATATTCATCTCCTCACCCAGCCATAAATTAGACCTGGAAGTGCTTCACCTACTTGACTCTCTAGATCCACACCTCATAGCCCCTTGCCGTACCTGTTTACCGGAAAATTTGGGCGAGGTGTGGTACGATTCGCATCATAACAAGGGTGTTTTACACACCCCCTTTTGCCCTGCCCCTGTTCGTTTGCTTGTCTGGTTTCATGGATCTCTGTGCAGGTGCGGCTATGAAAGGTTGGGATCTCGGTGGTTCAATTTGTTTCGGCATTTCAAGATCTGATTTACGGTTTGGGTGTGTTTTTGGGTATGGGTTTGCGTGGTGCTACACGGCTTTTGCAGGACTCAACTTGGCGTTGTCTCCGCGGCTGCAGTTCCTGTCGGTGCGGCTACAGTCGCTGGTAGCTGTTTGTTGTTGGAGATTAGGGTCCTTTTTTTGTCTGTTGTTGAGTCTTTGCTTGTGTGAGCCTCTTGATATTTTGAGACTTTGAGTTACTGCTCTGCTTTGGCTTGGACATTTTTTTTTGTGTGTAATTTTCTCTCTTTTTAATGAAATATTAGCATATGGGAGTTGAATATCAGAGTGCGCAACGAATAAAACTACAAAATAATAGAAATATTATTAAACAAACAAGAATGCCAGAATAACTACAAAACCCTAAAAGGCTACATTGTGACTAACTTATTTCTCAACTGAATAACAAGCATGCTATTTATAATAAACTAATCCTAATCCTAAAAGGTAAGAAACCGAAACCCTAATACTAACGGGTTAAGCCCAGAAAACCAAACATTCAAATAAACCAAAATACAAATATTTTTCAACACCCCCTGTCAAACTCATAGCGGTACACAATATGAGTTTGCCAACAAGCAGATGTAGATGTAAGCCTCCAAATTCCAATGCTGATGCCGATGTCGATAACGATACCAATACCAACTTCCAAACAAACAATAAAAAAATCCAATCAAACAGACCATATATTTCTTTTTGCCCGTGTGGGCCTTCAAACAAAGAACCAACGTTTTTTGTCTTTATTCTTTTCTACCTTTTTTTTCTCCTTTTATTTATTTTATTTTATTTATTTTTTAAATCCCCCTCTTTTTTCTTATTCCTTTTTCTTTCTCCTTCTTCCTCTTTTTTTCTTCTGTTTCCTTTTTTTTTTTTAATTTTCTTCCTTTCCTTCTTTCCTCCTGCTGGGCCTTTTTTCAATTCATGCAGCAACCAAGTCGAGCAAAAGGAAAGGGATTGCAACAAACAAAACAACTCCAGTGCAAAGTCAAAATGCAGGACTTTATACCGGTTGCGACAGATTCGAATCGTAGAAGTCGATGTGGGTACGACCCGAGTCAAAGTGCAGATCAAGCTATGAGATGCAGGTTCGTGAAGGGTGCAGATGCTCCAGATGCGGTTTAGACTACCAACAATTAATATCGAAATCTAAAAACAAATAAACTGATACGAGCAAACAGAAGTAGATTAAATCCCGAAGGATCAAACCTACTATGATACCAAATTGAATATCAGAGTGTGAAACGAACAAGACTACAAAATAATAGAAATATTATTAAACAAACGAGAATGCCGGAATGGCTACAAAACCCTAAGAGACTACATTGTGACTAACTTATTTCTCAACTGAATAACAAGCATGTTATTTATAATAAACTAACCCTAATCCTAAAAAGGTAAGAAACCGAAACCCTAATGCTAACGGGCTAAGCCCATAAAACCAAACATTCAAATAAACCAAAATACAAATATTTTCCAACAATGGGCACACACAAAGTGTGTGAGAATTTTTTTATTTTGTGTTTTTGAAATAGAAGGAGAGAGGAAGAGAGTGATAGAGAATGTGGAGGTGTGAATTTTTTTATTTTTATTAGAGATATATTAGGATCACATGTAAGTGATGTTTTGAAGAAAAAAAACAGTAAAATTGTTGCCTCATATTTCTTATTCATATATTTTTTTTAATTAGATGGTTAAATTGATAATTTTATAGAATTTTAGTTGACAATAAGTGTTTTATTAATTAATATAGATTTGTTTTTTGGCCAAAAAAAGAATAACATATGTTGGGGAAATCCAAGTAGACAGAGCCCAGCTCAATAAGCAAAAAAAAGTGTGCACTCTAACAAACTATGAATATTTATTTTTTATTTTTGAAAAGCAATAGTTGTAATAAATTAAATTGTTATTTGTTAAAATGTGAAGAAAATTGGTAGGGATCCAACGAACATCACAATGCATTATCAGAATTACATTATGCAAATAGGATCAAGATTTCGTCCACCGTCTTATCTGCGAGTCTAAAAGTCGTGAGCCCGTGATTATGAAAAAAAAAAATTCAACATCAGTGATCCATTCAGTCTGAAAAAGTTTTATGAGTTGCGTGAGTAAATTTGAGACGGCTGCTCTAGTTTATATAAAAATTTGTCCTAGGTTCGTTTTTAAAGGATAATACCAACATTCATATGCTATGAAAGGGCATATAAACCCTATGCTGGAACTGGCCAACATTCTCCATTCCAAAGGCTTCTCCGTAGCCATCATCCACACCAACTTCAACTCCCTCAATCCTTCAACCCGAAACCCACACTTCAGCTACCATTCAATCCCTGTTGACTTGACAGAAACCGAGGCCTCCATCAAGGATCTCACCGTTGTTCTTTCTATTCTAAATGCTAAATGTGTTGAGCCTTTCAGAGAATGCTTAGTCGGGTTGTTGTCCGATGGCGTTAATTCGGAGAACCCCATTTGCATGCTTGATCTCCGACCCTTTCTTCGATTTCACTCGATCGGTTGCGGAGAGCTTTAAGCTGTCGACGATCATGTTAAGGACCGGGGGTGCCGCTTCCTTGGCTGTTTATGCTGCATTTTCACTACTCAAGGAAAATGGTTACCTACCAATATCAGGTAAACTCTCAAGCCAACAAAACCCTGTTATTAAATCTGTTTTAATTTCATCATTGTACATCCATATAATGAGTAGAATGAGGACACTGTACCAAGACTAATGACTCGTTTATAATTCTTTCTATAAGTAACATTTTTATTTTTTGTTCGTAAGAGATTGTACAATGCTTTTGTTATAAACATGTCTAAAATTTTATTAAAAACTCTAAGTGCTTCTTGGCAAAAACTTCAAAGTGATTCTTCTCCTTCTTCTTTAGAAATAACTATAGATCCAAAAATGTACCAAAATACTTTTTGACTTTTCTAAAAGGGATCCCAAATTGGTACATAAACAACTTATGTTGATTTGGATTAGAGTAGTGCTATCCTTATCATCTATTAGTGTCATCTCTTTAATAGATGTATAACATACTAATACATGTAGTCCCATCTCTATTAGATAGATGGTACAAATGATAATATAAACAGATGGTAAATGTAGTATTTTTATTTGGACTAAGATAACTAGCCAGGTTAGCATGTTTAGAGCATCTTCAATGATGGACTTTATATGAGGCTGAAAAAGTGGTACATATGGCCCAATTTAGAGCTCTAAGAAATCTTTAGGACTCTAAAAATGAATCCCTCCCAATGAGTGACTATATACCTTTTTGGCTCTATATGAGGCTAAATATATTTCTGGCTCTGTATGGGGTATATATTTATTTATGTAATAATTTGATTATGCTGTAAATTTATTGTTATCTTAACTTTTCTTAAGTTAATTTTTGGACATGTTATCTTAAATATTTTTAGGAACTTTTCATGTCACATCCCGGCCCAGGTCCACCACATCCCGGGCCCTCTTTACCACCGTAACACGATATTGTCCGCTTTGGGCTTACCATTCCCTCACGGTTTTGTTTTTGGGAACTCACGAGCAACTTCCCAGTGGGTCACCCATTCTGGGAGTGCTTTGACCTCCTTCTTGCTTAACTTCGGAGTTCCTACGGAACCCGAAGCCAGTGAGCTCCCAAAAGGCCTCGTGCTAGGTAGGGATGAGAATATACATTTAAGGATCACTCCCCTGGGTGATGTGAGATGTCACATTTCAACCTAAAAAAAAATTCAAATTCTAACAAAGTTAGATTAATTTGATCACCTATGCACTGTTAGATTAGGTTCTCACCGTTGGATTAGGCTCTCTTATCTTAACCTCAGCTATTGGTTTATGTTTCGGTTTAGGTCTCTAAACTACCAATGTTAAATTTCATCACTTTTTTTTTATGAACTTTTCAATCTAGAAGATTAATGAGAGAGCACAATATTTTTTTCTTAATTAATAACGCACAGAATATAGCCGTTGTTTGTTTATGTTTTCTTAATTAAACAAATGGTTGAAAAATAAATTCTTAAAATCATGTTTTGAATTAGAAATGGACTCCATTTCTAAACTTAAAAAAAAAAAAAAAAAAAAAAAAAAAAAAAAAACCAAGGTCGGGCCCTCAATTTGGTGTGGGTCTTTGTGGTTTTTGGTGCTAGATGTAGCCTATTTTTTTTTACTATCCAAAGAATGAAATTGCTAGCCCATGTAATGGAAGTAGCTTCATTTTCTAGCCCATTAGAGATGAATTTTTTTTTATTAGAGCTACAAATATAGTAGCCTCAAGGACGATAAAGCCACATTGATGATACTCTTATCCCTTGCTTTCCCTCCTCATAAATTAACATTTTAGAATATGCACAATCTTGTTAAAAGACAAAATATATGTACTTACTAGAAAACTTGTATTTGGCTTTCTATTTTGACAGAATATATATACTTGCTAAAAGTGTTTTAATTGGAGTAGTGTTATTCACTCTTTTTTCCCTCTCACACATCCTTATTAGTTTTTGTCTATTGATTTTCTTCAATTAATTTGATTTAACGATCAAATATTAAGAGGAGTATGTGAGAAATAAAAATAGGCGTGTGTATAGCATCACCCTTTAATTGCCTGAATATATAATACATGGCTGACTATGTGTATTAATTATTAGCGCACATAATTGAGTAAGGATATAAAGTGCTAGTCGTAACTTTCTTGTAGTGATTATATTGCCGAAATATTATTGCTACAAAGATTTAGACAATTTATTTTTGACCTTTTATTTTGACAATAGTTAGATTCTCGCTTAGAAAAACCAGTGACAGAGCTTTCACCTCTCAAAGTTAAAGATCTACCAATGATGACGAACTGCGACCCTGAGGTTTTTTATAAGGTGATGACCAACATGGCAAATGAACCCATGGCTTCTTACGGACTAATTTTAAATACTTTTGAAGATCTTGAAGGACATGCACTTGCCACAATTCGCCAAGAATATTACCCCAATATTCCAATTTTCTCACTAGTCCATTTCACAAGTGTGGTCCTACAACCTGTTCTTCTTCAAGTAGTTTATTAGCACAAGACCAAAGTTGCATTTCATGGTTAGACACTCAAGCTCCAAAATCTGTTGCTTATGTTAGCTCAGGCCTCAGATGGACTGATTTTCAATACTTTTGAAGACCTTGAAGAAACTTCACTGGCCAAAATACGCCACGAGTATCTACCCAATACTCCAATTTTCCCAATAGGCCCATTTCACAAGTATTCCCCTTCCCCTTCTTCAAATAGCCTATTGTCACAAGACCAAAGTTGCATTTCATGGCTAAACACTCAAGCACCAAAGTCAGTTGTTTATGTGAGTTTTGGGACCGTTGCCAAAATGGAAGAAGCTCAATTTTTGGAGATAGCTTGGAGACTATGCAATAGCGACCAACCCTTCTTATGGGTGGTTCGACCTAATTTAGTCCATGGATCGAATTGGCTCGAACAATTACCTAGTGGGTTGGTTGAGCCTTTGAACGGGAGGGGACACATTGTGAAATGGGCGCCACAAAATGAAGTGTTGACCCATCCGGCAGTTGGAGCCTTTTAGACCCACAAGGTTGGAATTCTACATTCGAGAGTGTTTGTGAGGGGGTCCCCATGATTTGTACGCCAAGTTTCGCCAATCAAATGGTTCTTGCAAGATATGCGAGTGAAGTTTGGAAGGTCGGGTTGCAGATTGAAGATGGGATTGAGAGAGGTGTGATTGAAAAAACAATTAGGAAAGTAATGGTGGAGAAGGAAGGGGAAGAGATGAGAGACAGAGCCTTGAAGCTAATGGAGAAGGCAAATCTTTGCCTCAAGCAAGGTGGCTCCTCAAACCAATCTTTGGATGGGTTGGTTAAACATATTTAATCATTCAAACCATTTGGTGTTCTACAAGAATAACATATAAATAGTTCATCAAAACTGTTTTGTTCCTGTTTTTTTGTCAAACGATATATTTTGTTAGATTAATCATTAACGGGATTTGAACCTACATCGTCATATAAGGGCTCAATACATTTCCACCATTATTGTTCTTTTATTTTGACATTTTTTATTTTATTTTTTTATCACAAATTAACATTTATTTAAAACACGGGGCCAATCCAAAAAAGGCAAAAACCCAACAGAGATTAAGGAAATCCAAGTAGACAGAGCCCAGCTCAATAAGCCCAAAAAAGTGTGTATTCTAACAAACTATGAATATATATATATATATACACACACACAGAGAGCTTAAGGGGAGGGATCCCCATTTTTTGAAAAAAATGGGGATTAGGTGTGGGGCCCACTTCACATCTAATTTCAACGATCCGAACCGTCTATTTTGTTAGTCTCGATTCATATATCATCCTTGCAAAATATTAGCTAAATTGGAAATGTTTAAGACATCTAATTGGGTTCAAGGAAATGAACGAATACTTTGTTATATAAGAAAATATGAAATTTGATATTGATAATTAAATAGGCAAATGATTTCGGATTGAATTGAATTTTTGCAAGGATGATCTATGAATCGAGACTAACAAAATAGACAGTTCGGATCGTTGAAATTTGATGTGAAGTGGGCCCCACACCTAATCCCCATTTTTTTCAAAAAATAGGGATCCCTCCCCTTAAGCTCTTTGTATATATATATATATATATATATATATATATATATATATATATATATATATATATATATATATATATTAGACAACGATAGCAGTAATAGGTCAAATTATTGGTTGTTAAAATGTGAAGAAAATCGGTATAGATCGAACCAGTATGATAATGCATTATCAGGAATGAGGATCATCTTCAGATTTACTTTGTGAAAATCTAGGAGATTATTTAATCGTGTTTATTTATCATAAATCTTGTGGTCAATTTTTGTGAGATGTTATTTGTGTTAAATTTTAAATAAAATATTTAAAATAATTTATGATTGCATGATATACGATAAATATATACAATTAAAGAGTCACCGGAATCCTAAAATAGAGGACCTATCCTATCCTCATTCCATTATCAGAATTACTTTATGCAAATGGGATTCAAGATTTCCTCCACTATCTTATTTGCGAGTCTTATCGTGAGCCTGTAGTTCAGAAAAGAAAAAAAATCAACATCAGGGACCCATTCAGTCAGAAAAAGTTTTAGGAGTTGCGTGATTAAATTTGAGACGGCTGCTCTAGCTTATGTAAAAAGTTCGTCTTCGGTTCGGATTTTTTTTTAATATTTTTTTAAGGATAATACCAAATGAACAAAGTTGCTTAAAAAATACAGGAGTTTCTGCTCTCACTCAATAACGAGAAATTTTTTAATGAGAACGAAATACGGGATAGTACACCACGTATCACTATAAAAATAGTGGGATATATATATTAAAAAGTTAATAATTAAAAAAACACAATTTTCCATCACTTATATAAAAATACGTGATGTACCATTTGTATTCCGATTACAATGAAAATTTTCTCACCAATAATAGCTTAACTAGTATCCGAGTTGTTTGTTCAAGCTCTTAATTTTCAATGATTTTGGACACTCATCAAGTTGTTATTGGATGAGAGCTCCTGCTTGTTTTTTTATGTAACCAAGCTTTATTAATACCAAATTCATATGCTATGCAAACAAAAAACAATCTCGATTCAAAAATGGAGCAAAGCAAAGGCAGGAGACTGATCCTTTGCCCACTGCCATTGCAAGGGCATATAAACCCTATGCTGGAACTGGCCAACATTCTCCATTCCAAAGGCTTCTCCGTAGCCATCATCCACACCAACTTCAACTCCCTCAATCCTTCAACCCGAAACCCACACTTCAGCTACCATTCAACCCCTGTTGACTTGACAGAAACCGAGGCCTCCATCAAGGATCTTACCGTTGTTCTTTCTATTCTAAATGCTAAATGTGTTGAGCCTTTCAGAGAATGTTTGGCCGGGTTGTTATCCGATGGCGTTCATTCGGGGAACCCCATTGCATCCTTGATCTCCGACCCTTTCTTTGACTTCACTCGATCGGTTGCGGAGAGCTTTGAACTGCCGACGATCATGTTAAAGACTGGGGGTGCCGCTTCCTTGGCTGTTTATGCTGCATTTCCACTACTCAAGGAAAAGGGTTACCTACCAATATCAGGTAAAATCTCAAGCCAACAAAACCTGTTATTACATGTGTTTTAATTTCATCATTGCACATCTAAATAATATGAGTAGAATGAGGACACTATACCAAGACTAATGTCTCGTTTAGAATTCTTTCTATAAGTAATATTGTTGTTTTTTATTCGTAAGAGATTATAAAATGCTTTTGTTATAAACATGTCAAAAATTTTATTAAAACTCAAGTGCTTCTTGGCAAAAACTTCGAAGTGATTCTTCTTCTTCTTTAGAAATAACTACAGATCCAAAAATGTTTTGGTAACTACAAAACACTTTTTAACTTGACGGATAGGGGGACTAAATATTTATTCAAAATCTTTTCCATCTAACGTGTATTATACAACGGAATTCATAGGCTCACAGCCTCACAAGCTAAGCAAGACAGTCGTTCTTAGAAATTCAAATGGAGCAGAGCAAAGCCCGGAGAGTGATACTCTCCCACTGCCATTCCAAGTGCACATATACCCTATGCTAGAACTGGCCAACATTCTACACACCAAAGGCTTCTCTATAACCATTATCCACACCCGCTTCAACTCTCTCAACCCTTCAACCCTAAACCTACACTTCACCAACCATACAATCCCTGTCGACCTGTCCAAAACCGAGGCCTCCACAAAGAATTTCCCACTTCTTCGTTCTACCCTAAATGCTAAATGTGTCGAACCTTTCAGAGAATGCTTGGCCGTGTTGTTATCCGATGATGTTACTTCGGAGGAGCCTGTCGCTTGCTTGATCTCCGACACTTTCTTTGATTTCACTCGATCGGTTGCCGATATCTTTAAGCTTCCGAGGATCATGTTTAAGGACCGGGGGTGCCACTTCCTTCGCTGTTTATGCGGCATTTCCACCGCTCAAGGAAAAGGGTTACGTACCAATACCAGGTACAATCTCAAGCCAACAAAACCCTATTATTAAATGTGTTTTTATCTGATCATTGTTACTAATCCACGTAATATGAGTACACTGAAAACACCATACTGACATTTTCTTTGTGTAAGTAGCATTTCTGTTCGTAAAAGAAAATGCAATTTGTACTTTTATTATAAACATGTCACAAAATTTTATTAAAGAGAAATTAGGTTTTCATCCTTCATTTTGTTACTCAATTGATTAAAATCCTATACCTTTTCAAATTTTTATCAAGGTCCTTGGGTATTAATAACATCATTAATTATTTCAATAATAAAATATTTTTTTATTTATAGATATATTCATTTAATGTTAAAAATGTTACAATTAGTATATTTATATTTATGACTATATTTTTTATCATATATTTTTAGTTTTGGTTTGTACCCATTTTTAATTTGTAATTCTTTTTTAACTTGTACCAATTTTCTTTTCAATTTTAATTTGTACCCATATATTAATTTCTTTTTGTGCCCATATTTTTTAAAGTTTATTTGTATTTGTACCCATATTTTTTTTATTTGTACTTTTTATTTTGCTAAATGTACCCATGCTAATTATATGTACCCATTCATGTAAAACTTTTTAATCTTAAAATGTACTCATTTTTAAATATACCAATTTGTTATATGTAAAATGTACCTTTTTTTATATATAAAATCTATTCAGTTTTTTTCTAATCCATTTTTAAACTTATATGGGTACATTCTTTTTTCTTTGATTTTAAAATGTATTCATGTCAAGTTTAATCGAAGAAATTTACTAATGTTATTAAGCCTAATATCTTCTCTTTTTTTTTGTGATTTTGAAGAATGTACCCATGTTTTGATACAATAAATTTTTTGGTTAATTTTGATGAATGTACCCATGTTTATACACACACACACACAATAGTATGTTTATATTTTAAATTTTTTAATCCCACAAATTATGGTTTTTTTATATTTAAAATCTCATTTATATAAACAACTAAAATTTCTAATTTTTAATTCAAAAAATATAGTAACGTACATAGAAATAAATTATCACATTAATTTCAGGGACCTCGATCAAAAATTAAAAACCAATAAGGTTTTAATCAAAGAATATTCATAACTAAAGACCGCATCCAAAATCTCCCTTTAAAAACCCAAGTGCTTTTTGGAACAAAAACTTCATAGTGATTCTTCTTCTTCTTTAGAAATCACTCTATAGATCCAATCATATTTTTGTTTACCAGAAAACACTTTTAACTATTTTAAAACGTCCTCAAATTGGTACATAAACAACTTATGCCAATTTGGATTAAGCTAAATAGCCAGGTTAGCATGTTTATCCCTTGCTCTCCCTCCTAATAAATTAGCATTAGTTTTAGAATATCCATTATCTTGTTAAAAGGAAAACTATGTTTGTATTTACTAGAAAACTTATATTTGACAATAACAAGATTCTCGACTAGAAGAGCCAGTGATGGAGCTTCCACTTATCTAAGTTAAAGACCTACCCATGATAGCCAATTGCGACCTTGAGGATTTCAATCAACTGATAACCAACATAGCAAATGAAACCAAGGCTTCTTATGGACTCATTTTCAATACTTTTGAAGATCTTGAAGGACATGCACTTGCCACAATTCGCCAAGAATACTTACCCAATATTCCAATTTTCTCACAGGGTCCATCCCACAAGTGTTGCCCTATAACCTCTTCTTCTTCAAGTAGTTTATTAGCACAAGACCAAAGTTGCATTTCATGGCTAAACACTCAAGCGCCAAAATCCGTTGCCTATGTTAGCTTTGGGAGCGTTGCCAAGATAGATCAAGCTCAATTTTTGGAGATTGCTTGGGGTTCGGCCAATAGTGGCCAACCCTTTTTGTGGGTGGTTCGACCCTGATTAGTTCAAGAGTCGAACTGGGTTGCAACGTTACCTGATGGGTTTCTAGAAGCATTGAACAAGAGGGTAAATGTTGTGAAATGGGCTCCACAAAGAGAAGTATTGGCCCACCCAGCAGTTGGAGCCTTTTGGAGTCACTGTGATTGGAATTCTACGTTAGAGAGTATTTGTGAAGGAGTGCCTATGATTTGTATGCCATGTTTCAGTGATCAAATGGTTAATGCAAGATATGTGAGCGATGTTTGGAGGGTAGGGTTGCAGTTGGAGCATGGGATTGAGAGAGGTGAGGTTGAAAGAACAATTAGAAGACTAATGGTGGAGGAAGAAGGGGAAGAGATCCAAGACAGAGCTTTAAAGTTGATGGAGGAGGCAAATCTTTGCCTCAAAGAAGATGGCTCTTCATACCAATCTTTAGTTGGCTTGGTTCAACAAGTTTTTTTACATTTTTTAATAAAGTTGATTGATTGAACGTGGAAAGAGACGTATGGCAGCCAATTGTGTTAAAGATATCATAAATTTAAAATTGCTCCAAACTTGTAATATCTTTACACTTGAGGTCCTAAATTTAATTATAATACTTATAATATTGCTTGTATCATACAAAAACATATTTTCATGATGTATAGGTAAAATATCTGCCAAATATTGCTAATTGTATTATCCATCTTTACAGACATGAAAATATTTCTCTTGTCCATATAGGCAACGTCATATTCAAATTTGTCATTTTCATGTTGGAAAAACTTGTTTTAGACATTATAACTTATCAAGTCAATTGATAAGATAAAATGACATCACATCGTCAGTTCATTTCTACGTAAGTTTGCTACAAGCACATCGACATGCATGTAATCGACTTACCAATGATATAGATAATATGGATTCCCAACTTTTCAATATTTTCTTCATTGCATGAGTTCAAAGGCATGCTCCTGATTTGGATCCAGAAACGCACTAAGTCCATCTGCATTTCCAGATCAATCTTGGATTTAATTTGGTGGATTTCCTTTGGGGAAAAGGTGCAAAAAGGGTTTGCAGAGATCTGAAAAAACTAAATATTGTAATCAGACCAGGGGATGAGAGTTAAAATAAAATCTTGAGTGGAACTTGATGGATGGGGGGACTAAATGTTTCTTCAAAAGCTTTCCATCTAACATGTAGTGTATATACGAAATTCATAAGCTCACAAACTAAGTAACAGTCGTTCTTAGAATTTCAAATGGAGCAAAGCAAAGGCCGGAGAGTGATACTCTTCTCACTGCCATTCCAAGGGTACATAAGCCCTATGCTAGAACTGGCCAACATTCTAAACACCAAAGGCTTCTCCATAACCATTATATATCCACACCCGATTCAACTCTCTCAACCTTCAACCCTAAACCCACACTTCGCCTACCGTTCAATCCTTGTCGACTTATCCGAATCCAAGGCCTCCACAAAGAATCCCACTTCTTCGTTCTACCCGAAATGCTAAATGTGTCGAGCCTTTCAAAGAATGTGTTTGGGTTAATATTTGAACTTTGGGGCGAAGGAACAGAAGCCTAACAAGAACCAAGAAGGCATGACTCTGCCCGAAGGCCCAACATCAAACCCATTCGCCTAGCCCAAGGCAAAATGATGATTCCACATTTAATGCAAAGACTAGTGGCTTGAAAGAAGTGACACTTGATGGAAATCAACCTACTCTCAACTCAAAAGCACTTTCTGGATGGCAGAGTACGTAAATTACTGATGAGTCACTACCCCTAAGTTGCTTTCGAGCAGGAACCAAGCTACAAGCAGTTAGGCTAATTCGCCTATAAAAGGAGGAAGAGGGCCCAGAGACAAGGACACTCAACCAATCAAACAAACAAATACACAAACTTTGCTCAAGCCAGATTTGCATACGAAGCTGTAGTCAGCCCCCAACCTCAATCATTTTCAGGATCAACCCTCACAAAAGCCATCTTTTGTCTAGTTTAATAGCTCTGCTGCTCACCAAGTAGTATTGATTTCTCTTGTAACTTTATTTGTCATCCATTCTCCTTTGAAACCCTCAAACCCCTGTAGTGGCAAAGAAAAGAAACGGTGAAAGGTCCAGCCTTACCCGACAAGGTTCAATCTTGCCCAATTCCCTTTATTTTGTCTTTTACTTAATAGATCTAGTGTTGTAATGAATTCCATAGTATGTATTCAAATCATTTTAGGTCTTTTAATGATCCAAAGTTCAGCTTACTCTCGGATCTGGTTTTAATTAAAGGGTTTCACTATCTTAAGAGTGGATCCACTTAATGATGTGATTAGACCTGAACCTCTGCCCCTTTACCATACAAGATATACAAAAGTCCTTGATCTCAAGGCATAGAAAATAACCTAATCTGGACTTAACCCATCCACGACAATCCTTAGATAATGAGAAGTTAGAGTAACTTGGGGCACAAGTAATTGACTTAAATCCACTCATTTCACATCTGCCATATTGAGATGGCAGTGGCACGCCTCAGCACTTAAGTTAGTTTTGACTGTGAGCCTCACGACCTATATCTAAGGCCCGACAAAGACACCTTTCAGAATTAATCCTGTCCTTTTCTTGCAGCCTGACGAACAAAGCAAGAACCCGACAGTCAACCAAAGTGCCAACTCTACGGAGAGCTGTGTGCTCGAGCCAGGAACGATCACAGACGATATTCCTGCCCGAACAGAATGCTTGGTCGGATTTTTATCTAAGATATTAATTAGGAGGAGCCGGTCTCTTGCTTGATCTCCGACACTATCTTTGACTTCACTCGATCGGTTGCGGATATTTAAGCTTCTGAGGATCACATTAAGGACCGGGGGTGCCGCTTCCTTCACGGTGCCCCATTTCCACTTCTCAAGTAAAAGGGTTACATCCAATACAAGGTATAGTCTCAAAGCAACAAAACCCTATTATCAAATGTTTCCCTTTTATCTAATCCATAATTGTACAATCTTATAATTTCACAAGTCATAACGTAAGTGAACAATGCTGCTTATAAAATCTTATGGAAGAGCCGAAGAAGTAATATAAACAAGTCGAAATTTCAATTAAAATTAAATGCTTTTTGAAATAACACTTTGAAGCGCTTCTTCTTATTCTTCTTAAAAAGTTGCTTCTAGACCCAAAAAACGCTTTTGATTATCATAAAACACTTTTTGGCTCTAGAAAACCTTAATAACTTCTACAATATAGGTTATGCCAGTTGGATAAGAAAGTGTTTTTGCACCATGCTCAAATTTGAATCCCCCACATTTAAAAATTGGAAGTTCGGGTATTTGACCCGGAGTATCCGGGAAAAAGCAGAATATTTGATAGAAGAATAGGAGATCCTTTTGAACAACTTGTTATAATAGGAAGGCCTTATATCTTCAAATTAATTCATCAAGTTGATGATAAAATACATGGACGTCCCAGTGGACACCATGCACTTGCTACACAACAACCCCTTATTAGAGGAAGGGTCAAGTAAAGGGGACAACGGATAGGAGAAATGGAAGTTCGGGCTCTAGAGGGATTTGGTGTAAGTATGTATCGTCTTTTTTTTTTCTTAACAAAAAAAAAGGAGAAAACCACTTGCTAGAAGACTTACATTTTGCTTTTTGAGTATGTGTCGTCTTTTTTTTTTTTTGCCTGGCCGTTGGATTCTACATTGGAGGGAGCATTAGTGAGAGCGAGCGAGAGAGAGAGGTTTTTTTTTTGGGGGGGGGGGTGGTGGGGTGGAGTCCTATGATTTGTACGCATGTTTTAATGATCAAACAGTGAGGGCAAAATATAAGAGTAAGTCCACCAGAGGGCTTTTTGCCCAGCACCCAGCCGAAAAAATAGGCCAACCCCCAGTGAATCCCCTCCAGTTGACCCAATTGACTGGCACCCAGCCCATGCCAGTCTCTAGCCCAGTCCAAAATTGACTGAGGTGTGGCCCGGTCCATCTGACGCCAGCGTGGTGTCAGACGGCATATTAAATTTTTTTTGCACCAAGCGCGTGCAGTTGACGCGCGAGTGGCTGACAGGTTGGGCCCGCGGCGCAGGCGCACTGACTTCTCACCAGGGAGGCGACGTGGCACGCTATGTGTCGTTGGATTTCCAACGGCTAGTTTTTCTAGACCGTTGGATTTCCAATGGTAAAAAAAATTTAAATTTTACTTTTAAACTGGATCGTCCGATCACAAATCAACGGTCCACGTTAATTCCCCCAAAAATAAATTAAAAATTAAAAAAAAGGCCCAACGGTAAGATTTATTACCGTTGGTCACGTGGCAGCTCCTTGGCTCTTGGATTTGAAAAATTTTCAAATCCAACGGTCGAGATTAATTAAATACATTAAAATTATTAAAAAATACAGAAAAAAAAAAAAACAGAAAATTTTTCAAAAAGTTATTTTTTTTTCTTTAAATACCTAACCCTCATCTTCCACCTTTACACCACATTTCAATATTTTCTACACTTTCTATACTATCTACATTTCAATATTTTCTATACTATCTACATTTCAATACCTAACCCTCATCTTCCACCTTTACACCACATGGCAACCAAGATCCTAGCACCACATATCCTAACTCAAGAGACTTTGTATAATTTTTATGTAATTTCTTATTTTTTTAGAATTTTATTTAATTTCTTATGTAATTTCTTATGTTTTTTCTTTCTTTTTTCTTTTGAACTTTATTTAATTTCTTATGTAATTTCTTATGTTTTTTTTTAAGGTTTGAACTTTGTTTAATTTCTTATGTAATTTTTATGTTATTTCTTATTTATTTTTATTTAATTTATTATGCAATTTTAATGTAATTATTTATTTATTTTTGTACTTTATTTAAACACATGAAATAAGATTACATAAACTCACCAATTAAACTTAAAAACAAAACACACGACATAGAATTACATAAACTTAAAAAAAAATACAATTTATTCTTCAACCACAAGCCTCATTTTAATTATCTTCGTTTTCATGCAATCCCCACTGGTGCTCAATCAAGTCATTCTGGCGGGTTATGTGCTAGTATGGCTCTTGCACATCAGTGTACCGTTGAACGATCAATTCATTGTAACGTCCATCGCATTCCAACGGCTCGTGTTACACTGGATCTTCGGTCCGATCAGGAGCACAGTAGATACGTGTTCTTGAGTTGTTCATCGGATCCGGCTCATATTCATCGACGGCATCATAATCATACTCATCTTCAACAATCATGTTGTGGAGAATAATACACGTCATGGATCGAAGAGCCTCGACATCAAACATTCTAGCTGCAGCCTTGATAATTGCCCAACACGTCATCGTGATTGGTTGAAAATTTTATCGAAATCTGGGCTAAATTATTGTAAACCGGAAGTGACACGTGGCGTGTTGGGATTGGTCGAAAATATTATCGGAAATCTATCCACAAAATAGTACGTTCGGATAATGACACGTAGTATGACATGATTGGTTGAAAATCTTATCAAAATCTTGGCTAAATTATTGTAAAACAGAAGTGACACGTGACGTGTCGGGATTGGTTGAAAATCTTAGTAGAAATCTATTCACAAAATAGTACG